AAAATGGTTATATTATTACGGGATTGGTGAGATTAAAATATAATTTCTTTGTCTTTTTGAGATATAGATGAAAGGAAAAAAAATATAACAATAACACGGTGTATATATTGATAACTATCGAATGACAGCAAAAAAGAAGTGTGCAGGTATCTCATAGATCAAACTGAACAATAGATTAGAATACATAATGAAAAAAGAAAAAGAAAAATACCTGTTACAGTAAAGATCCGAGCAAGAAAACAATCAACATGTGTCACATACGTTAGAATATGACTAATGAGACAGTGCCTGAAAAAAAACTAGTAAAACAGGAAAGGAAAATAACAAGTATGCAGTAAATAGACCACTATCGAACAATAACTCCATCCTGTAACACTATAAAAGTCATTACTACAAACACATATAATCAACGATAATGGAAATAAATCTTTTTTCTTTTACATATAACAATATGTTATATAGTCTTTCTTCAGAAAGCAAAAAAGAAAAACCAATTTTCTGACTTATAATTTGCAGTTGTTTTTTCACTGACTGACGGATTTTTTAATATTGTATGCTATGCACTACAGGAGTAAAATAAATATATTAGTGACTTTTGCAGGAAGAGATAGAAGCCAAAATGTTTTAAAAAGTTTTTCCTAGGGCACTATATAGTATCTTTAGGCAAAAGTAAAATTGACATCGAATGGAAAACATATGTGTAGACAAAAAAAGAGTTTAAACATTGTTGAAATATTCAAAATATTCTTTTTTTTTGCTCGTTATATTATATGTTTTCAATGGCACTAATTTGTAAAAATTGATTTTAAAGGATAATTAAATAATTATTTCCTGACTCTTTAATTTATTCAATATTAATATTATATTTTCATCTATTCAGAATTATACTAATGGGTAAAATTCAAGTAGATAAAAGCAAACAATTCATTTCCGTTTGTTTACTATTAATGTTCTATTGAAACCGTCTGCTTCCTGGATTGTTTGGTTATTGATATGTAATGAAGTATCTATTGTTATGGTAGCAAAAGGTCAGAGTATCATTTATATACAATGATACTAATTAACAATATAGCCTAAAAGAAATTTGGAACATGTTTTTTTTTTATATGAACGAATTTTTGCATATGCAAACTTTAAAATAAATCAAGTTTAACTTTAACTTATGTTGAGATAAAAATGAACATATTTCATAAGATTTTTTTTACCTATGTATTTTATCGATTCATCGGTATACTTTTGCTAATTGTGAAATTTTAACTGTTTATTTGATATTTCAAACCGAGAAACTTGATAAAACTCTATTATGTATCTAGAAATTATTTGTCTTCACATTTGAATTCATAAATCATTCGATCGAAGTATCCCAAATGTTTTCAAGTTGTCAACTTTATCTTCATAATCATAATCAGTTAAACGACAGATGTTTAGTATATGCAAAGTATTTTCCATCCAAAATACATTTATTGTTAGTATAATGAAGGTATGGTTGAGAAGTGATGACAAAATTTTTAATTTTATATACCATGATGTTTGAAGAAGATATTCAATAAACATGGGTGAAAAAGTATATCAAGATTCAGGGCACGATAGAATTCTGTTTGTTTTTTAAATTCTTACTTTTTAAGCAGAGAAAAGTTCAATCTTTCTAAAAACTTAAAATACGGTGCACTAATTATTGAAGTATTCTTTTTTGTATAATTGTAAAAAGTACTTGGTTCAAAAAAAAAAAAAAGGACTATGTCATGCATTGTATCTTGATATGTACTTGCAAACTAAAATAAAATTAAATATATAGCATAAAAACCCATAGAGAATTTTGGATAGTGCGATAAAAAAAAAAGAATATTTTTCAAGCAGAGAATAAATGCATCAGTTTGAACCACAATTATTAGAGAGTTTTCGGCAAAAATTTTACTTGACTTTAACACAAATCCTTCTAGTTATATCTAACGAAGAAAGTCTTTCAACTGTTCAATCACTTTAGAGAACTTTTCTTTTAAGTTCTCTGTTTATAATCAAAACATTGTGTAAAAAAATGATTTTAATTGTTATCTTATTAAATAAAACTGTTTGTTTTTTGTTTATCATATTTTATTGATTATCACAATTAATGTAACTAAAATTTAAACTGCTACATAAACTAATACAAATCTATTAAATGAACACCAACAAAGAAAAATTATATTTGTCTTTAAAAATGAACTATTACCATAAGAGTAGTAATAATAAAAGATAAATGAATATAACCATAATTATTGTTACCACTATTAATTGCATATTTTAGTGCATTTCGTTCATCTGTCTCATATGCCACAGAACTTTCAAGTGATACATCACTAGTGGTTTCATGAGTTGAACCATCGATATCATTTTTTGATACAGATGTATCCGTATTATCAATATCTAGTTCCATTTGAAATGTACCATCTTTATTGATATCTTCTGTTTCCGAATCTTTTAATAAACTAGATTGTATTTGATAGATATTAATAATAATTAAAAAACCAATCAAAGAAATCCAATGCATTATTATAAACTATATTGAATTGAATATGTAATTGAGAAAAGAAAAATTGAATAATAAAAATCGACTGATTTACTTATTCGAATGAAAATGAACAATGGACGACAAAGAGAACAGGAGCGTTAGATCAATATCGATGACCTTTACTATTACTTCTTTTTTTAGACAAAAACCGATAGCAACAAACAATATACAAACGAAAAAAAAAGAAAAGGAAAGACGGAAAGAAAGAGAAAGTGAATATCAAATAGTTCATTAACCTGCAACTTACCCGTTCATAGAATCAATATAAATGAAAGAATAATAATTATATATGAAGTGTATGATATACATGATGGAAGCACTAAAAATTGCTTGCCAACATAGCTATTGAATAGAACAAGCAAATACATGCGATAGTTAAATAAAGAAAAGAACAAAAGTTCTTCCTAATGAAAACATTCACATAGAATTATATAACTTCTTCTTTTTTTTCGTTTACTTGAGTTGTTTAATCCTTTTTGTTACAAAAGTTTTTATTCAGTAAACATTCGTATATTTTAAAACAAGCAAATGTAACGATGATTTGAAATCAAATTCAAAATGTTTGGTTATAAAATTTATTTCATCATATCGATGAATACATCTTGCATCATTTATAACAAAATTAATGTGATACAAAGAATGAAAGACAAATAACTGAAAAAAATAATGGATATAGGAAAGTAATACAAAGATTGACAACTATTTCTATGATATCCGCGAAAAGTATCGATTCCATTTTTTTTTCGATAGTATTCTTATTAAATTTAGAAAAGTTCTCTTGCTTACGGAAGTACTGCTTTATTACCTTCATATACATAATATTTGTGCAATCAACAAGAAAATTTGAAAAAAAATTCATTTTTATGTCGTATTCCTAATAGTTTCTATAAGTGAACATATTCAAAAATTATTCAATAAAATCTTCGGAAAATTTCTCTCAATGGAATTTAACATTGTGTAGTCATGCATCATATCATCGTGAACCACATCAAAAAAGTACTTGCACAGAGATTATTGAATAATTAAGAAAGGAATTCAAACATTTCGATTTCAGCATAAAATAAGACGAATTTGTTTTTATAGCTTGAAAGAATACTGATATATATCTTCAAAGACTACCAATAAAATGTAAAAACAAATTGATAATACATTCATGTTCTTTTATATGATATTCGGCTTTGTTGAGAGGGACAAAGAGTTATGAAATAGCTAAAACATACAATTTTCAATGTTACATTTTTTTTTCTCTTTTTGCGCTGTCCTCAGAGCGTGTAAACTGCGGTCATCTATAGAATGGGTTGATATTTCAAAATTTAAGGATTTAAGCTAATATTTTCTTTTTGTCAATAATATATCTTTCTCAATAAGTGTCTTATCCGAATAAAAAGAAAAGCTTTTGACTATGTTTTGTACTCTGCTCTGCAGTCACTTTGATAATTTGGTTTATCCTAACATCAATGAGTCTTTCGAATATTCTTCTTCGATACTTTTTTACATACATAATATTTT